TAATTCCAACTGGGCCTTAGCCTTCCTTGTCGCATCCCTGCACACTCTGACAACGTCCCTGTATTCCTCCCAAGTGGCCTGTCCCCTTTTCCACATTCTGTACACTTCCTTCTTCTGCTGGAGTTTTGCCAGGAGTTCCTTGCTCATCCATGCAGGTCTCCTGCCCGCTTTGCTCGACTTCTTCCTCAGAGGGATGCACCGATCTTGAGCCTGGAGGAAGTGATGCTTGAATATTAACCAGCTTTCTTGGACCCCTCTTCCTTCGGGGGCCCTACCCCATGAGATTCCCCTAAGTAGGTCCCTGAAGAGGCCAAAGTCAGCTCTCCTCAAGTCCAGCGTTGCAATCCTACTCATTGCCCTGCTCCCTCCTCGTAGGATGCTGAACTCCCCCATCTCATGGTCACTGCAGCCAAGGCTGCCCCCAGCCTTCACATCTCCAACTAGACCTTCTTTGTTCGTTAGTACAAGGTCTAGCAGCGCCTAGATATTCTAGGCGGATTTGTTGGGGATGAGGTTGTCATCTCCCCTTGGCTCTATTCTTCCTCGATATGAGGAGCTAGATCAGGAGCTGAAGGGACAATCATAAGAGTTAAAAAAAATAATAATAAATAACCTTAAATATCTCTGAATAAGGAACGCCAAAGCCGGAGCCTGTTTTCTAGCTATTCCAGAAATGCTCCTGTAGTTATTCCCAGGTATTCCAGAAGAGTTGGCTATAAATGGGATAGTCTGGAAGAAAAGAAGGTGTACCAAAAGTTAACAGACATAGAAAGAAGGAGTTTTATTTACTTATTTATTTACACCAAGGAACTGGGCCTTGAACAGAAGTTCCAGTGTCCAAGGAGGAGCACTTAAGATCCCCTAAGGAGGGAATAAGATGTGCGAAAACATCCCCAGCTCCAGATTCTCTGCTGGTGTAGATCTGTGCAGCATCATTAACTTCAGAGATACGCTGGCTGACCTTCCATTACTCATCCTGCAGCCCCTCATCAAGAGCTAAGATCCACCGACACACTGACACATCTTCCTTTCAATTTGAAAAAGTGCCTGGTGTCCGAAGAGCTAAACTGTGAGAGAACAAGTCCCCAAAGGCTATTACTGCAAAGTTCCTGAGATTTAAAGAAGAACCCTAAAGAAAGCAAGAAACCATAGCAAATTGAATTTAGCAGGAAGCCCTGTTTTCTTTTACATTGGCATGTGCTGAGAAGTGGTTGAAGGGCGTGATGGATGGGTGAGCTCTCCAGCCAACCCACCAAAGTGAGCATACAAGCATACAAGTGAGCATAGGCTATGTCTGAACTCACCTTCACTTGTGAAATGGCATTTCCTTAACAAGCCCAAATTATTTACACCCCAACGTAAATTCAGGTGTCAAAACTGTACCTAGCCTATGCAAGACAGAGAGACAGACAAACAAGCAGGTGCAAGCCAGTTTATATAACATGGAGACAGAAATATTGGACAAAGCAATCAAATAGTCCCTTTGGCTTCAACACACTTTAAAAACCTGAACTGGGTGTTGTATTATACTAGACTACAGAGAATACACACAAATAAATGCATAGGAGCACACGGACACTCAGAAGAAGCCTAGGCACTGCTGCAAAGTTTGCTCAGAGATCTTACCACCACATGCCACAGGTGTCACACAGAGGCAGGCACACAGGTAAAATAGGTGGGGGTGTTTATTAAAGAACGTTTTATGCTTGTTTTAAACACAATAGCACCTCTCAAGGTAGCAAGGTGGGTGGAGAGCTCTGTTCACAGGGTGCAACCGCAGCCACCAGCCCCAGGGCAGCAGGTAACACCAGCCTTGTTCTGAAGAATTTGTGTTTTTTTCCAGTCGCGTGAACACCTTGCCCAAGGGTAGGAGGGAAAGCAGGGGGGTCAGGAGGGAGCTGCTGGCAGCTCAGCAACAGAGAATCACAATCAGATAGGAGAGGCCCATAAAACCAATATCAGCATCACGAATCAGCCCCTCCCTTAGTCCAGCGTGCAACCTCGCTCAGGTGCCTTCACGGGGAAACCTTCCAGGCGTGCACAATTCCTGCCTCCCGCACTATATAACGTGCCCCAAAAGAAGACAACCCGAACTCTGCGCAAGAGAGGCCGTCCCAAAATGAAGGCTTTGCTTGTCCTCCTGCTGGGAGCAGCCCTGTGCATGGACTCGGGTAAGACAGCATGGACAGTCTGCCGTGTGTCCTCGCCAGCAAGGTCCTCAGCTGGGAGGAAAGGCCAGTTAGGGGTTTTGGCAGTGAAGGAAGAAATGCTGAAGCAATTGTTGTATGTGACATGTTCGCTTTCTGATGGGGCGTCCTGGGTGTTGCATGGAAAAATGGGTAGTCTCACTGTGCTGATGGCATGATATTATAACTGGGTAGAGCAGCTTCCAGGAAAGATAAGTCCTGGAAGAGTCCTGGACAAGTCCTAAAAAAAATGAAATTCATGGGGGTCAAAATTATTTGTGTCAGACCACGTAAGTTTTTCTCTTAACGAGAGGGGAGAGGAGGATTATTTTTCTTTTCCCTAGGCTAACAAAATGTCTCATTTCAACATTTCTGCAAAGGTAAGTTTTCTTCTAACATATTCTTTGACTCTTCATTAGAAAAGTGGCCTCTCAGTCTGCAAAGTTTATCTACTTTCTAAAAGGAAAAAAAGTGGGTAGAGCGCCATGACGTATGATTTTTTTAGACTGAATGGGTGGAATTTGGAGAGTGCACATCTGTAACTCTCTTTTGCCTTTATGGGAAAACACAGTTTAAAACCAGCTCTACAATGTTACCAGAGAACAGAAGACCCAGATCTGAGCAGAAACTTGTCTCAAGCAGCAGAGGATGTTTAAGGAATAAGATGAGAAGGGGCTTGTACAGCCCTGCCCAGACCCTCTCCTCTGCCAGCCTCCAGCCAATGCTCTAACCCTCCATCAGCAGGGTTTGCTGAAATTTGACTTGTGTTGCGTTAGAAGTCACATATTCAAGGGAGCAGAATGCAGCACTGCAGACAAACTGGGGGTTTGCTTATTGCCTCTAGGACTGTATCAGTCATTTATGCAAACCAAAATGACTTGGACAGAGGGAAACCAAGTAGTTCAAACCCCTTCTTTCTTTTGCTCCCACTAACACTACAGTTTCTAGTTGGGTCTTGTCTATGTCCTAAAAGAGTATTTAGCATTAGGCGTTAGGCTTTTGGTTCAATGGAGTCATAAGACAAGCCCGGTGGTCAGTGCATTAAAATACATACGCATATTTACACACACAAACACACACACACACACACACATCCCTTCCTACACACTTTTCAGGGCTAGGAGGCTGCAGTGATGCCCTGGGGCACAGGTAGGTAATAGGAAAAGGGAATTGCACCATGCTGTTCTCCTTGGAGGGCTGTTTTTCCTCAGACCTTGTAAGTTGCAATTCCTGTGCTGGTAACCCAGGCTTCATGCTTAAGAACGTTATGGATGTTAATGATGCTGACTTGAATCCCCCATGGACCAATACGGCCATTTGGGGGTGGGAACGCCTGATGATGTGGTTTTCAGAAAGAGGCAAAACTGTGTTTGCACTTTGCTTTCTATGAGGGCATGTTGGAAAGCATATCACAAGTTGGTCAAACCGAGAAAGTGGGCTGGAATCTGCTCCACTCCTCTCTCACCCTCTCTCCTTTGGGTTTTGCCCGTTTCATCCAGAACAGGAAACAACGCCTCAGCTGAGTCTCACGAGCACAGCATTGGTACAACTTTCCTGTTTGCAGAGGCAGATAAATAACATCAACGCACTCTTTTGGTAACTTCTTCCCTCCATCCCTTCTCAGTTCACATGGAGATGGGAGTATCTAACAAGTCCTTATCCAGGCAGGAACTGTGTTGAGATAGGTAACTCTTAAATGTTGAGGAAAGAGCGTGGACCTTGCGCCCCTCATTGCACCACCTAAATCTGAAAGAGCTCCAGTACTTGTAAAATTTGCCCAACTCTCACCCGAAGTGAGTGCATCGTTCTCCACTGAAAAAGGAAAGACCACTAGTTTCCAAATAGCAAAGGTGCTAGCTTCTTCTGAGGACCCACATAATGGATTCTGGGTCCCAGTGCAATCACTGGATGTCTCAGTTCCTGACAGGGCTAAAGATGGATTTGCCTTATAACCTCTCTTGGCCTCTTGCAGGTTCTTCTTTGAAATGCTACAGCTGCACAGCACAGCTCAGCAACTCCAACTGTAAGATGTCTGTGAACTGTAAGGATTCGGAAATGTGCAAGACAGATGTGATCGGTAAGGCAAGGTGGGGACGGGCAGTGTCTAAGCTACAGTGTCGGAATCAGGCATGGCCCCAGCCACAGATGTCCAAGCCAGCCCCAGCTACACTAGATACATCAGCTAGTGTATGCCAGAGCTGAGGCCAGCAAAGCTCGGTATGCCACAGGAAAAGAAAAGACATCTAGGGAGAAAAGGTGACCAAAAAAATACTTACAGATGGCTTTAGGTTTGAGTAAGAAAGGCAGAAGAACAAAGTTTAAACCTTTCTGATGGTTAGCCCCTTGGTAGTGGTGCTGGCCATGACCAAGTCCTCTCCCCACGCTGGCCATGCAATTGAGATCACAAGGTGGTATTAGCACCCTGCATGCTTTATCCCATCAATTCCTCAGCATTTGCCAATAGATTGTGCTAACTGTTGAGCAATATGGGCATGCAGTGTTAGTGCCAGGAACAAATCTCGAGAGGGTGCAGCTGCTTTTTACAGCACCTAGTACAGCAGAGTTCATTTTGAATAATACATACCAACGTGTCTCACCTACACAACATCAGGTTTATTTGTTTTCCATAATGCCAAGGAGGTTTTGCTTACAAGGGCAACAGCTGAGCTGGTACTGTTGTAAAGGGAGCAATATGGGTTAAAATGGCTTTAGCTTCTCCTATAGGGGAACTTGGCTATAGGTGACTGCCAGATATAATGCTAACCCCTGTGAGGGGTTGAGTCTGATAAAATCTAGTCAAGGGGTTTGAAGGAGCATTCAGTGACAGAGCTGATTCTAGGGGAATTCAGTGGACAAGATGGAAATTCACCCGTGTCCCTCTACAGCCAGCACTGAATGCAGGCAACTGCGTATCTCTAGATAAACTCCTTTAACGGGTTATGATTTAATTCTCTCATCCTGGATCTGGAGAAAAAAAAAAAAAAACCCTTCCTTCCAGAAAATAATTGTTCAGTTCATGCAGATCTGTGATGACACCTCAGCTGCTCTTAGACCCAGGGGCACAGAGACCATCAGAGGCATGTCCAAACTGATCTCACTGGGGCAATGAGTGCAATACCTCCTATAGGCATCCTTGCACACACTGCATCCATGGCCACAGTTAGGAATAGCATTTTATTATTCAATTCTATGAGTCTTGGATTGGGTAATATTGCACTGAGTCCTTGGAGTAATGGTCTTGCCTTCCTTCCAGGAGTCATAGGGCTTTTCAGCATCATCAGCAAGGGCTGTGCTTCACCATGTGAGCCATCCTATCAGGACCTCACTGTGGGGAACAGGAATATCTCCTGCTGCAGCAACGACCTCTGCAACATCAATGCAGCAGGCAGCATGACGTGCAGCTATGGGATGACAGCAGGGATATCAGCCAGCATGCTCTGGACCTTCCTGAACAACAGACTGTGAGAAGCAGAGGAAACGCCCATGAACGCAGAAAGCCTTGGAGCACTCCTATTATGGCAGGAATTGTAGCCCGGATCAATTCGGTGTCTTGGGCACACAGCATACTTGAAGCTGATGGCAGATCTCTCTGCCTTATGATAGCTTCTTTGTGACTGTTATTTTATTTCTATAGTGCTGCTAAATGACAAAGTATGTGTGTATGTGTGTGCATTTTCTGCATAAAACCTAATATAGTTCTTTTCTGAATCAGATGTGTGTATGTTGCCTGTATATGCTTGGTTTTGTGTTCCTGCAACGAGCATCATCCGTAGGTGGGTATGCTGCACCTCTGGCCAAAGTTCAGTCTTGGTCATTTGTGTCTCGCAATGTTGTGTCCTGACAGATACCGTGGCAGAGCAGAATAGTGGCAGCAACTGTTGTACCTCCAAAGCTTGAGGGACTCTGATATATGACAAACTCTGGTGGGGACATACCCCAAAAAGTGATTGTACCTGCAGGGGAACTTGATTGTGATCAAGAGATTCTGGGATCCTCCTGTACCTTGTTAGAGATAGTGCAAGACAAGAGTAATGCTCATTTTCCCTGCTACATATGAAATCCATTCTTTCCATACTGCCTTCCTTGCAGCTGTAGCATACTTTGGGACAGAGGGCAAGATTGCACAGTCAGTTACCTGGAGCACCTACAGCCATGGTGGACAGTAAAGCAAAGCTCAGAGTATCTGGGAAACCATTTCAAGTTTTCTCACCTGCTGATGCCAGTGAGGTGTCTGCATGTAAGGCCGTGCTTGTCCTTTCTGAATAGTTTATTCTATGCGTATGAGCTTGGGTATTCCCACCTTGCACTAGGAGATCCTGAGCAATGGTGGGCAAAGGCAATAGAAGAAGCACCATAAGAAGCTTCCTGCAAGACGCTCTCAAAAGAGAGTTTTCAAAAGAGACAATGACACACATAAAAGAGCAACACATACATAAAAAAACCTGAAAAGCAACACAGAAAACGTTCTGGAAAAGGCCACCATGCTATATGTATATCCTCCCACTATACAAAAATAGAAGATAAGGCTGGTATCAGGAGAGTGTAGAGATCGGCCTGGGAGTTCCCCTGGCTGGATAATGAAACATACTGGACTTCTGACTTTTAGCTAAGGGCTGTAAAGTCAAGACAAAAGTGGGTGAAGGAGCGAAAAGGGAGAGAGGTCAGCCAGGTGTCACCTTTTCCACCCTCTCATACTCTAAGGACTCAGAGACCTGCAAAGGATATGAAAAGCCAAAGGTTGAAATCACAGAGAACCATTTTCCTGATGGAGATGAGTAATTTGGGGGATCCACAGCAATGAGACAAGGCTTAGCATCAAATATGGGGAGAAGTCAGTCAGAGGTCAGAGGATAATGAGTCTGTCTACTATTGTTAAACAAAAGTACTTAAAAGCTTGGGTTACAAGGCATTAATGAGCTGCTAAGTGTAGGATGCAGGGAAGGGGTTCACCTAGAAAGAAGTCCAGAATGAACCACCTCATATGAGACCAGTCTGGTTATTGCCAGAGGGAGGATATGGGACCTGAGGGGCAATCTATTCTGGCTCTTGCAAGCCTGCTGAGTCTCATGCACTGAAAGGGGAGCTCGTCCAGGTGTATTCCTCACAGCCAGGTTGTTTTATGAATGGATGACCAGCTGCATGATCTCTCCAGTCCAAGCTGATCTCTGCTCTGCAAATCTAGTGCACCATGAACACGAGACATGTCAGAAAGACTGCAGCGTTGTGTTGCGCTACCTCATGGGAACAATTCCTAGGAGACACCCAGACTAGCTACAGCTGAAAAAAAGAGCTCTTCTTACCCTACACCATGATCCCATTATGCAAGGTGCTGTCCTGCATGACAAACCCAATAAAGCTTGAGAAATATGCAGCAAGGGGTTAGGAAATGAGTTGGGTGGGTTGGGGGGTCAGCCTCATTTTTTAAAATAGCAATAGATATCACAGTAGAGTCTCAAGTTGCTTCTTATTACTTACCTCTGGCCCGCTTTGCTGCTGCTTCACTTTCTTTCTCACAAATGGTGCTGTCTGTACCCTTTCAGCCCAAAACTGCTGCTCACATGGTGGAAGGCTATGCTACCCAGCCCCTTTGTTGATTGCTCCCTCTCCTTGGAGTTAAGCGATCTGCTCTCCCTTTGCATATGCTGCCATTTGTAGATGACCTCTCCTCCTCCTCTGCCACCTCATTTTTTCGCAGGTTCAGATCCAGAAGACTCTGCCCATATCCACATTTAGAAGGATGAGGTGAGAACAAAAATCAAGCAGCACTCTCCCCCAGTTCTTCATCAAGTTGACACTCTATGTGTGTCCTTAGCTGAGCGGACAGAGATGTGAACGGTATAACTTCTCATGGGTATAATGAGCACACATCACAATAAAACTCCCTAAAATCAGGCCTTCTGACCATGTCTATACTATTAAATCAGTCGGTGCCGAGCACTGGAGCTCTGTCAACTGTATTCTTGCAGTATAGGAATGTCACTGATGCACTACTGCTCTGTGCCCACTTTCTCAGTCATATCCCAGGCAGTCAGGTACTAGCACATCCAGTGGCCATTCCCAGTAGGCAGGTTGGTTACAATGAGCCTGTCTGGAAACTGAGAGTTTAGCTGTTCAAAAATGGCCAAAATAAGCTAGCCAGCCTCAGAGACAGAGAGGTTCCCAGTAACGTTTGGTGAGATATAGCCTCTATCTTCAACTTCCAGCTGACGAAGAGATCAAACATATTCTGCCCTGAAAATAAGCAAGATCCTGAAGTCTATAGCATGAAGGGGTGTTGCAGTTTACAAGTGCTATTGTATTTTGGCCACATGTAATGCTGATGTCTGGAGGCTGGAGCACAGAGAAGTTTAGAGCTCCTTGCTGGAGCTGACAGGTGATTTTTCTGTGCGCAGGTGGCTGAGACCCGATGTCTGGACCTATGGGCCAAAGGGTCAGTTCTTCCTCCCAAGGGAGGGAAGGCTTCAGTGCACCTACTGCTGAGGTTTTGAAGCTATGCTTTGTTCAGAATGACTTCTTCTGTTTTGCCAGAGATTTACTGTGGTTTCCTTTTCCTTACAAGTTCTGGAGGGATTTCACCATCCACTGCTGACTTACTTTCCTCTCTCTTCGATACATCTGGAAAAAGTTTTTGCAGGCATTGAGGTGAGGAAGGGTGAGATAGTGAGATACGGAGAAGACGCAATTGCGAGAGGCCACGACCGGGATAGACACAGGGAAGGGCACGGCAGGAAGCCCCGATATGCACAGTGCAGAGTGAACCTGTGGCACTCGCCCACCGCCACTCAACAAGCGAAGAGCGTAGCGCTTGCAATAGCCTAACACCGCACTCCCCATTCAGGTCACTGATGGGCAAGCTCAAAAACATCCCTCTAAATTCTGGGAAGAGTTAGGAGGTGGCAAACTGAGGCGGATAAATGACTCAGCTGTGGGTCAGAACCAGGGCTGGGCCAGGGCAGGACCAGGAAGAGGACTGTTTTCACAGGTGCTGTGACTGCACCTTGATGAAAAGGCTGGCCTCCCCTCCTGCCTCGTAAACCCCTAAAAAACACAAACAGGACTTAGTCCCTCCTGTTCCTTTCAGTACCTTTTGTCAGCAGCGCCCTTGGTAAGTGCAGGTGATCCAGCCCCACACAAATATGCAAACCCTATCTGAAGGTCAGTTTACTCTCCAGGTACCTGAGCAAACGGGCTGAGAGTTGTTTGGCTGGTCAAACACAAGCACAACATGCATTTGAAAAGCAAGGCTTCCCCCACCACCACCCCAGGCAAGCTGTTTGTTAGCATTGTTGGCTGATCAGTTTTAACAGTTCTTTCTCATATCTTTTTCTACACTTATCAAAAGGCCTAAAATCAAGAATAGTCTCTTTAAACAACTCAGTCCATCATGTATGCAAGAGGCTGTGGTTCATTTGTTTAAATAAGAAATAGTTGGACAGTTAAAATGGATGGTTTCCTTTTTTGCAAGGGCTGCAGATCCCTTATGGACTGAATTTAAACATACAGTTCTCAAATAAGTTTATATCTTACCGACGGGGAAGCTAAAGCAACTCATGTCCACAGTAACTGTTTTTCTAAGGTGGGATACGTTACAGACAAATATCCAGAGTTTAAAAAAAAGAAAAAGTGTTGCTTGCATTATTGCTATAGTATTGTATTTGCTACTGGTAGTTTTAGACCGTATTTATTATCTGTGTGGGTAGGGATTAGTGCATACAGCATTGCATATGGCCCAGCGGGAATTATACCCAGTGTCTGTACCCGGTCTGAAAAGGTCATCAAGATCCCCTGAATTGCACCTGACTTGCTGCTGCTAGCTAAAGACTTTTGATCATGCTAGAGAACAGCTCTAGCACATAGAGGCCACATGAGCTGGTGTTTAAGGATCACCAGCTCTTTGCTATGCTTCCAACTTCCTTAGTGACCCGGGGCCATCTGCGTGGGCTCTCCATGCCTCTGCCCTGTAAAGATATTATCAGGTCTAATATATTGAGAGATGCTCAGATAGTGGCTTTAATGGGGCCAGGGCAGAGACTAAGGGAGGCGAGGACTAAGCTGGAGGAGAAGCAGCTAGTGTAACAGAGCTGGGGAAGGATTACCCGCTACCCACCCACCCTGCACAGCCACATTCCTCCTCCATCTTATCCGCCCATCCAAATACTGTGTTGTGCAATGAGGCTTTTCACCCTCGAAACAGGCAGAGGGAGAGTCGGCGGTTAGCTCTGCTCTGCCAGGCATTAAGTCACTGAGAAGTCACTAAAAGCAATTAAAAGACCTGCCCTTTGATTACAGAACCTCCCTAAAGTAACTGCACTTGCCACTCACCCTGGGCAAGGCCGGATGAGCAAGGCTGGTGAAGCCAGGCTCACCCCATGCCATCTTGACTCAGCCTACTCCCATCGTGTCACTCAACAACTCTGGGTGGCAGGATCATTTGGGAGGACAGAGGGAGATCACGGGACTGGAGC